GAACATGCTGGGTAAGTCTCAGCGCTGGCCTGCAGACGCAAGCTGCTTTCCCTTGTAGCTCGTGCTAGCTCACTGCCGTATGAGGGGAAAATGGTTGCAGAATTGCCATGGTAACGTTCTGTACTCATCTTGGCTGAGGCAAGGCAGCTATCACAATGCGTTTGAGTTCAACTGACCCGTAGAGGGGGATGTCAGGGGTTGGCTGAGATTCATGCGAGCTTCTTCAGGGACTAAAACTCTGGCATGAGGTGGAGCTGCTGACAGTGTGGGAATGCCGATCGCACCAGTCTGACAAGCGCGCTACCATTTGGGATCACTTTTCAGCAGTCTGACCTTGTGAAATGGCTGTTGCCCCCTGTGCATTCTGGGTAATGGAGCTCTGAATTTAGTTAGGAACGTGTCGCTGGTGTGGGTATACTGATTTTAATTTAGTCTCATTTTTGTTCATCTGCCTCTGGGTTTGACTCAGTTCCCAGGATTTATGATGGGGTTTACCTACATGTTGAATTTAGTAGGTATTGATGGTCAAGTTCCTCCCTGGTTCTAAGGTTTTGATTAGAGGCACATTCGTCTCCCCAGGACTGGCAAAGCGTGTTGGTGCTCGGCTCCTCTTGGCATCTACGTCGGAGGTGTATGGAGGTAAGGTCTGTCCCCAGTCATTGGTGCATTCTGGGAAATGTGTGGGGAAGGATATGGATGTGGATGGGAGAAAGTAATGGGGAAAGAAGGAATTAAATGGCTTTGACTGTGTTTGACATGTTGGAATGAAAAATGGGAGTTAATGAGTGTCTTTGTTTTTTTTGTGAATGGTGAGGCTCCTGACTGGCAACCTGAAAACATAAGTACGAAGGTGTGCAAAAGGCTGACCACTCAGCCCTGTTCTCCCCCCTCCCAGACCCAGAGGTCCACCCCCAGAGTGAAGACTACTGGGGCCACGTAAACCCCATTGGCCCCCGTGCCTGCTACGATGAGGGCAAGCGAGTGGCAGAGACCATGTGCTACGCCTACATGAAACAGGTGAGCCGCTTATCTGTGAGCTGTAACAGGAGCATCTGCTCCTGAGTGTATGCTGTACAGCAAGGAACTGACAAGAACGGGAGGTTGGTGGTTTCAGTTCCTCAGCCCCGTTTGATCAGATCTTGATGTCAATATATATAGCTTTACCCAAAACCCAGTAGTATCCAAAAATAAGGACCACAAACACGTACTACAGACCAAGACAAATAGTAATGTTTGATGGCTGGAGTTTTAAGAGGGAAGTGTTTCCCTGTCCAGTCCTCGGAACTCTGACGGTACATGTCTTTGCTCCCTTAAAGATCTCTGCCAGACAGTCCACATTTTTTCTACCTACTGGGAGTTGGGAAGAAGCAAAAACGAGGGCAGGGTTGGGAAGTACTAGCTTAGTGAGATACAAACGAACTTGTGCCACTGGAGGTCTGACAGGGTCCAAAAAGTTTCTGATTACGGAAATGATTTTATGGGAATGACCTTGATGTGGTTGACATGAGGACTCGTCTATAAAATCAACAGACCTTGCATGTGGGGCTACAAAAAATTTCAGTAAATTTTTATTTTCAATAAAAACGTGTTTTAATAACTATTACATGGATAATTCAACAAATGGTATTGAACTTTCCATTTTTAATCTGTATTAAAGCAGGTTGCAATAGCCACACTTGGCCGCATCTTGAGTAAAATAGGGGATCCGACAAAATCAAGCCAGCCGTTAATGGCCAACATTGTCAGATCTGGTATTTTTTCACACCAGTGAGGGCTGAGTATGTGTAGTGTGAAATATGCAGAAATAAATTCACATCATGACGTGCATGATAGAGCATTTGAAACAAACATCATTGTGCAATGGAGAGTTATTTATAGTCAAGTCTGGACACACCTACCCATAGAAAGGCTTATTTGTACTATTCTCTACATTTTAGAATAAATATAAAGTCATCAAAACTGAAATAACATACATGGAATTATACATTTCATTGTATAGAGTCATTATATTCTAAAATATAATCATGAAAATTTTCTAAAATGAAGAATCAGACTTTGGCACTACTGTCATGTCAGTCGTGGTGTGAGCTCAGTCCTGAGTGTTCGATGGTGCAGTATGACAGAGCAGCAATGTCTGGGTGCATTAGTCATTAGCAGTAATCATCTGTTAGCGAGCGATCAATTATGACATGTGCACCCTCAGGAAAATCGGCTGTGGCCTCCGAGGTGGTGATCATACGCTAATTTGATGTGGTTAGCGGAAATGTCAGATGCCATGAAGGTAACTGAAGTCCTGGAGATTACATGAGGGAGCTGCTGCCTGTGTAGCTCGTTAGCAGTGACGGCTTGTGGAGCCTCCTCTGTGGTCAACGGAGCAGATGAGGATGAATGTGCAGGTAGCGAAGGTGGTGATGTGAGGAGATGCTGGCGGTAGTTGTGAGATCCGAGTGACAAAGGTACAAATAGTGTGTATGAGCTTTTGCATTTTGTCGCGAAAGGTGAGCCAGATGGGAGAGTGCAAGGGTACAGACTCCCTCGAAGGCCCATGGGCGTGAATGATGTCATTTCCCTTCACCGCAGGAAGGGGTGGAGGTGAGGGTGGCCAGAATCTTCAACACGTTTGGCTCCCGGATGCACATGAACGACGGCCGGGTGGTGAGCAACTTCATCCTGCAGGCCTTGCAGGGGGAGCCCTTGACGGTGAGGTGCTGGGATGTAAGGGGATTGTAGCCAGCCACCGCTGGACCTTAACAGAGCCGAACAGAACCCTGTTAGTGGCGTATCTCCGAGGCCAGTATCTGGTGCTTTAAGCATGCTGACTGTCAGTTGTACTTCCTGGGGTGATGATGTTGCTGAAGGTTGTGTGCAGAAAATGTGTGCTGGGTTGTGGCTGAATGGATTGAAAGAAAAAAAATTAATAGTATAGATGCACCGATTACCGGCCTTCTATTGGTATCGGCTGATACAGTAACAATCAGCCATCGTCCCATGGTTAAAAACAAGCCGATATATTATTCCCATTAAAATGGTACCTATATTGCTTTGCAGACCCACCCACGTATGTGCAAACTAATAAACATTTCAACACAACAAATTTGATTGCTCACCTTAAGTCGAGACAGTGAAGCAGGCTGCAGTACTACTGAATAACGCTAGTCAGTCAGTATCACAATCAGCCAGAAATTTCCTTATCGGTGCATCGCCAATTAATACTTCATTTACCATTTGTACAAGTACAGGGATTTTGGAATTCATTTTTCTGGGGGTGAAGGGCCTTACTCAATGGCCTGACAGAGATACAACTATTCCCCCAAGGATGTGATTTGAACCGGCGACCTTCTGATCACAGGCTCAGAGGCCTAACCCACTGAGCCACACACTGCCCCACCAATAGAAGTGAGGTCTTACCCCAGACCACATGTCATGTGGAGGTCAGTGAGCTGGGTACATGGTAATGGGACCTTGTCGGTGATTCATGAAGCTGACCGAACTTTCTCCTTCCTGGCTCCAGTTAAGGGATCTAATGTGTAAGCACTGTCACACACAAGTCATGAGTTTTTTCTGCCGTGGTAGGGATGTGTTTTATGAGGTAGTCTGGATTGAAGCCTGTGGTATTTGGTGGTTTTGCAGGTGTATGGGTCCGGCTCACAGACAAGAGCCTTCCAGTATGTAAGGTAAGTGATAAGGAAAGCAGGACTAATACATACGTGAGCATCAGTATTGATTTCAGTGATTTGAGTGGTCAGAACAGCAGGGGCAGGAAAGAGTGAAGTATGTAAAGGTATGAAAAATAGGTAGGAATTGGGTACGAGAGAAACAGGTTTACATTTGCATAATGCCACCATCAGAGGGCATCAATGAACAGACAGTCTCGCCGTTTGAACACATGGTCTCCCATCCTGTCTCACATGCTACTGCAGCGATCTCGTCAACGGACTCGTCTCCCTCATGAATAGCAACATCAGCAGCCCCGTCAATCTGGTGAGAATCGACACACTGGGGCGTCCATCAGTGATGCTACAAAAACGAGCTTCATTCATTCTCACTGTCACACTCTCGCTCTAGGGGAATCCCGAAGAACACACCATCCTTGAGTTTGCCCAACTCATCAAGAGCCTTGTTGGTGAGTGAGTCGGTGCATGCACGGCCCGCTTTCCCTGTTACTGTTTTCGCATTGCTCACACTTCTCACACCGCCCCTCAGTCAGCCGTAGTCAGATCCAGTTCCTCCCTGAAGCCCAGGACGACCCACAGCGAAGACGACCCGACATCCGCAAGGCCAAGCACCTTTTGGGTTGGGAACCCGTGGTGTGTGTGGTTATCCTCCTACTCGTGCTTGTACCTCACATCCCTGACTGGTGAGTCTGCATCCCTCCTTCACACTGCTTGTCACCCCCAGGTCCCCCTGGAAGAGGGCTTGAACAAGACCATACAGTACTTCAGCAGGGAACTTGAGCACCAAGCGAACAACCAGTACATCCCAAAGCCCAAACCTGCTCGCATGAAGAAGAGTCGTACTCGTCACACCTGAGCCTCCTGGGCTCTCTGCTCTCTGTGCCAGGAAGGAATACTCACCTTGCACTTTTTTCCCTCTCCACTCCTCCCATTAAGTTAAAATGAGATGTGACAGACTTCTGCTTTACGTTTTTTTTTTTTTTTTTTTTCTGGGTGAGATGTCTTGCCTCCCAGCTGCCTTCCATTTTATTTCTGACCTGATTTTTGGACAGAATGCTCCTGTCAGTGGACGAACCGGAACTCCTTTCTGCAATTGGTCAATCAATGGGGGCACCTACTTTTCAACAAACTTCCGTTTACGGCCATCTAGTTTGAGTTTTGTGTTCTGCTTTCCAATGGACTACTGTGGAAGGCTTTTAAACTTTCAGCCCTCTCGAGACACTTACCTTTTGAAGGCAACTGTGTTTGTTTGAATAAAAATATTGATGCCAGTTTGAGTCCTTGTGCCAAGTTACTTCGGGGTACCTCAGACAACAGGAGGCCTGGTGCAGCTATGACTTTATTTACTCCATGATGCACTACAGTTGTTCTAAAACTCATCACTACTGGCAGAAATGGACACTAAAACATGGTATCCAGTCTTACCATCTACAAAAGCATGTATAGGGGCTGGGTTTCGCATGCGGGAAGCACTAATCGGTTGGTCAGGTGACTTAATAGTAATCGTAGTTGACGTCGGCGCCGTGCCGGTGGGAGCTCCGGTGCTGGGGTGCCAGGGGGGAATTCTCATCATAATGGTGCTGACGGCCCCGGTCAATGCTCCTGTAGTAATCCCACCAGTAGGACAGATCTGCCTCCAGTCTCTGCAAACAGTGAAGTCGACCATGTGTCAGATCTCTCGACTCGTCACTTTCTCATTGTTTTTGTGACCGACGTCAACCTTTGTAGGATGACGAGGGATAACAAAGCCTGTGTTAGAGATGCCGTCTGGCACGGAGCTAGTGAGGATTGCCTACTTCACAGCTTTCGTACGAGACTTTGGTACTAGCCAGATGACACCCCAGTTTTACAAAAAAACAGGCACACATCCACAGAATTTCCCCTCACATCACCACTCTGTGCCAAAATGAAAGGTATGGGGTATTCAGGTGGATCAATGGCAGAGCCTTACCGTCTCGTCAAATCCCATGTACCTATACTGCATAATCCACTGCTGCACATCTGGTCTGCTCCTGTCCCACACGTTCCTCTTTGGCCTCCTGACAGGCGACAGGAACTCCCTCGCCTCTGCCGGTGTCAGCTGCAGCCCGCCGGGCTTTTGCTCCTCTGGGGCTACGGGATGGAAAGACAGACGGCCTTGTGCTGAGCTTTGCTTACGAGCACAGATCTCACCAAGTGACTGCTTGGATTAGCATCTCCTCACCTTCTCTCCTCTTCATCAGGACCGAGTGCAGCTTGCTCTCACCGCACACATCTGCATGGGACATAAACATGACGTTAACAACGACCAGTGAAGTTGCCTTCGGTGCTTCGCTAGCTGTTTTAAAAGGTCCAGGCTTCCCGGGGGTGTCCGATACTCCGGCACCGTCCCATATCCACCTCACGGCACCTCCAATACGACACTCGTGCCCTTTCAGGTCACCGTCACTAAGCTATTTCCATTTTTCCATCTTCCCCCGCTTTCAGGCCCTGCACAAAACCTGCACTTATGCTGCACCCCTCCAATCTGTGTTCCAATCGAAGCCTTGCACGATCTGTTGGTTCCACGACCGTGCTGATATCGGGAATGCATCCCTCCAGGCTCTTGGTTTACCCTCTACTTACACAAACGGAACCACGGATGTCTCATTTCCTGTGGACCCCCGCCCCCCCTGCTCCCATCATGGCCTCCTCCCTAGAGGCCCCGTTACCTTCGCAGGCGACAAGGATGACCAGCAGTGCCACGAGCGGCATGCGGAGGTCGCGGGAAGGCATGGCGTCCCTTGCCGTACGTTCTGTGCTGTTCAGGACCGGAGACGGAGAAGAAAAGCCTGGAGGAGAATGCGAAGCGTGCGAGCCTTCCACAGCTGCAGGAATGCTGCAGGCAGAGGGCCGGCCCACAGGAAAACTACACGTCCAAAAAGTGTGTGCGTGAGTGATACCCACCCCCTTAAACAGCTAACGACCATACCTCGTCCTTCCCTCAAAGGCCTGCTTGAGAATGTCTTTCCCTGGCAGAACAGCTCTGCTTGAAGCATGACGGCTCTCGAGGATTAGGGATGGGGGGAGCCTAGCTTCTGCATAGACCTCCTTCCGTGAATCCTCTGTTCCATCCTAAATTTCAGCCTGCTCTTACCCTGAGCCTGTTGGTGACATTAAGCTTTTCCGTGACACGTCACTTGGACATCCTCTGAACAAGCAGTCTTCCCCAGGATGTCCGCCTTGCGCTGTCCCTCATGTGTAACATCTGCTTGCAGATGCCATGAAACGTGGTACGGAACGGCCTCACGACGTTACGGTCTACCTCTGTTTCCTGCACTCTCTCCTGCCCGGTTCTCTCTCTCCCCCGAGGCCTAGGGTCTACTCTTTTCAAAGGCATCTGGAAAGACGCGACTGAGCTCAGATTTTCCATACTGATTTCCATAGTCTGATCCCACCCTGTCTGCTTGAGCTCCAGCCCCCAACCCCCCGCCCCCACAAACCCCCTCGTGCGTGTACGTGGAATAGCAGATTGTACAGTACATGCTTACGTGGATTTGTGCTCAGCACGTGACACTGTAATGGCACATATGCTGAACACATTACCATTAACACTGTCAAGTGGTTATGCTGCTTCATTTTCTATTACTTTGGTCTGTGTTTATTGGGTTGCTTTGGCCAAGTTAACATTCGCTACTCAATGAAGGTTCTTTGTCACACACACACACCCCCCTGCACACATTGTGTTCCTTCGATGTTTGCACTTTCACTTCTTGAATCATAATACATTCAGAACTCCATTTGTTCTAAATGTATTGTTCCTCAACTGGGACACGTCTTCAGAAGCCCTCTGCTGTTCTTCATCTCTCTGCTCCACACAGACCACTCTAGAACTTCTGATCCCTTTGGGGTCTGATCATTTCAAACGTTGTAGACAGAATCCCATTTCTCTGTCAATGGTGATACACACACTCCTTGTTAATCTGGATTTGGGTTTCAACTCTCGATACATCAGTGGACCTCAGTACACCTGCACACCACCCTCAGATTATACAAGTGGACAACTCATGTCTATACATAAGTTATGACAGGAGCAGAATACTCAAGAGCAACCAATCACCCTACAGAACAGAATTCCAATTACTGTCAGATGTACATGCGACTCAACCTGCAAGATTTCTGTACCCCACCCTGATCAAAATCTAATGCCAAAAGCTCATTTTGCACTGAATCTCATGGACATCAGATACACCCCAGATAAAGTGAGCATTATGACACCCATGAGGTATAGCTATCGACTTATTGGGCACCAACTCGTCACTCATGTTCAGGGATCAGTGTGGAAGTTTTACAGTAAGTTAGCGGCAAGACCACCTGCAGTTCAGGCTCAGTAATCCATTGGAAGCTAAGCAGGTTTGGGCTTGGCCAGTACTTGGATGGGCTGCTGCTGGAAGAGGAGTTGATGTGGCCAAGCTCCTGTGGTCTGAGTGGATCCCAAAGCCCCAGTGCAGTGACAGGGACACTGCTGTCCATTGAATGATATGTAAAACCAAGGTCCCCATTCTGTGAGGCCGTAAAAGATGTCTGGATATCCTTTAAAAGAGTAGGGTTTACAATCTGGCCTCCTAATTATCCCCTATGTCTAACTGGTGAATTCTTGCCTGCCCCTTCCTCATCTTAGCTACTGTGTAGCATATTGGTGTGGAATAGCTGCCGTTCCATCATCCAGGTGGGGGCTACACAGTGGAGGAGGCTCCCCATTGGTTCTGTGAAGCGCTTGGGTGTCTTAAAGCTATATGTATATAATATGTGTAACGTTCATTCAAGAAAGAGAACATCTTAACACCGTGAATCTTCAATGATTTATTTCAGATTTAAATATTACGTTTTTGTTGACAAGCTGTGTTTCCGCTTTCTATAGCATATATCAGAACATCCTGCTATCAGCTTTAAACAAGAGCTCTGTTCTCCGTCACCTTCCTGCGGATCCTCCCCCCTCCCCATCACTCCTCCGGCTCCGGGCTCTCGTAGCCCATGTGGCTGGCGGGGGGAAAGTGCGCCCAGAAGGTCCTGGCCAGATCCTCCATCTTGTCATAGCCGGCATGGGCGCGCAGGTTCTCCACCCAGCCGAAGAAGTCTGAGGATGTCAGGGCCCAGTTTGGCAGGCCGCGCTTCTCGCGGGCCGCCGCTACCGATGGCCCAATCGCAGAAGACCAAAGAGTCACAATCAAACACAAATCTGCTCAACACTTACACACTAAAACCAATTTTAACAAATAGCTATGTGACTACTGGTTTTGTCCAGAGTTATTCCCTACCTTCGACTTGTTCATCTGAAGTGCTCTGGTCTGCCACTGCAGGGGGGTGGGGGGGGGGGGGATAGAAAGAAAGAGGACAGGACAAAGCTGTCAGGGTTCTGAGAGCAACAGTGTTCCTCCATCTATGCTCTCAGCTACAGTTTCACCCTTTCCCACAGATGGATGTCAGACTTCCCCGCTGGGGTTCCCTTCAGTTCCTGGGGCCTGGCGTTCACCTCACAGACTCATGATATTTCCACACTACGATGAGTCTTTGGGGCTTTGACACAGATGACTCCAACTGACTCCCACTGTTTACAAATGACTCAAAAAGATTTCTATTCTGCCATTTATGCACTGTCAGAGTACAGTGTACAGCCCTGGTACAGCATTAATTAGTGGCAGAAGTCAGATGATTAAAACACTGTCATGCCTACACACACAGTGGAACGTGAATGCGACTGATTGTTCTTTACCTCTCACCCACCCATCCATCCATCCATCCATCCATCCATCTCCACTATCATGTATGAAGCCACAGTGCTACCCCTGCTCTACCATGTCCTTCATTTGCTTTAATATTATTATTTTTAGTTGTAGCAGTGGTATTAGCTTCTGAGAACATCAGGAAAACTGGACACATTTCTGTACCTGAATCATAATGTTTGGTAAACATTGGTAGAATGAAAAATCATTTGCGGGGAGCTTATTAAACACAGTGACATTTGGTATATATATATATATATACACAATATACACAAAAATGAACATGCTGGCTACCTTCATTAAGCCCCAGTATAACAGGATGATTAGCATATGAGACAAACTATCAACTGAAAGTCATGATACAGGCAAGGCACCTTTATGGCAAAACCCATGAAGAACTGGATTATTTAGAGCTTTCTTCTCCATCTTCATGTCTTAAGGTCAGTTTTTTAGCAGAAAGGTAACAGGAACGTGCAACATTAGATAAATGATAACCAATCGTCCCCAGTTCACCAAGTGAACAGGACAACTGCACTCTCTGCCTAAACCACAGCTACAGCACGCTGGAAGCATCTCTTGACCGCTACTGACACATTTTGGAAATACAGGATCAAACACATCCTTGTGTAACAAGATCGTGACTCACCTGAAGCCTTCAAATTCGACATCGCGCAGCCACAGACGAAAGCTCGGGACTCCCCTCCCTCCCCTGCCCCCTGCAGATTAGATGGAGCCCTTAATACCTACCTGCAAGGCAGAGGAGCCCCAGGAAGAGCATGCACACCAGCAGCGCCGCACACGGTCGAGGCATGGCTTTCCACTGCCAGACAGAGACAGCAAGAGGCAGATAAACCATCTCTCAGGAGTTCCAGAACCTTTCAGTAACCATAGCAAAACAATTGAAACAATTGTAACAATTGTAACTGTGAATTGAGTGGTTACCTTTTCCTCCAATTCCTTACCGTCTAGTAGGTCCCGGTCCTGTCCGCTCCTCGTCCCGGCAGTTCTGGTGCAGGCAGCACAGCAGATCCTCAGCTTTTGGCGCCGCGTTGCTTTTCACAGCCTCCCTGCACATGTGGAGTCCACTCGCTCCTTTTCCCACCCCACCTCGACTTCTTGCACCCGCCCGACCGAGCCGTAGCTCAGAGGAGCCGCTTGTGGGAGGCCCCAGGAGTCACCGAAAGGACCACAGCGAAGGCCTGATAACTGCACCCCCCTCGCCCAGGCAGGCCGGATGGGAGTAGGTGGCAAAGAATGAGCAATGATGGGGAGGGGGGGGGGGGCAGAGTAAGTTTTGGACAGTGGTAAAATGTGTCACGTTACTGTGTAGTGGTGGAGATGATTGAGAGTTACTGGTAACTAATGGCAACAGCAGCTAGAGTTCCAAGCACAAAGGGGTTAAAATCTGGGATGGCATGACTGTAAAACTGTCTTTTTCAAACAAGAAAGAGGCAAACAGTATTACATCATCATTCATTACACTATGATTAACGTGTTAAACAGGCCCAAAAAGAGCCTACAAAAATTATAATGCAGAATTTTTTATTATTATTATTATTTAATTACATGTCCAGAACCAATCAAAAGGTCAGTGGAAAAACAAATGGGCAGCTGGATCCAGCCCAGGGGCTGTTTATTGATTAGCTTTCGGTTGGATTGTGGACTCAGCTTTGTTTGGTTTTCCTGTAGTGAGAGCGCCACCTGTTGAGGGAAACACGAGGGGAACCTTCTTCAAACCCATTTGATTCATTCGTTCCATCCACTGTGTTTACGCTATTAAAAGGAAACTACCCAGGGACGGTGATCCATTCTGTGTCCTCATTCATTAACTGCATCACCGTGAGCCAGGGCCGCTGCCTCGTTACATACAAAGATAACTCGACATATCACCTGAAACGATCCCTCTTACTGAAACACGACAGCAAGGATATTCACACCTTCCTCCATTAATAAGCGAATCCTTTAATCGAACAGAACGATCTCCCTTCCTGACACGTGTCCACGGCTGTGGCGCTCCGGTCCACATGCTTCACATACACACTTTAGGAGCTTTATAGCTGCACATATAGCAGTAACCAGAGTTCAATCGAAGTTCTGGAACATCAACAGGTGATACTTAAAAAGTAGCAGAAGTCAGATGATTAAAACACTGTCACAGCTACACACACAGTGAAAAGTGAACAGGACTGATCGCCGTTCCTTGCCTCTCATTCAACCATCCATCTGCACCATCATGTTTGTATCAGTCAGAAAACTAGACAGCCACTAGTGAGCCTGCACTCTCTGGCCACGCTGGCAACCCGTGGTAAATCCCACTCAGATGCCCTCACACCCCCAAAACAGAGCGGGGGTCCGGCAGTCTCCGTCTGTCGCTTTGCAAAGAGCTCGGCTGAGGTTGCCGGGTCCCGTGGTGACGTGTCACAGCAGCGGATGGATGAGGTAGAGCCGGTCGCCGGACTCCCCCGTAAAGATGGCCGCCTTTTTGTAGTGCTCCAGCAGCTCGTCTATGGAACAGAAGCGCCGCTGCCCGATGCAGAAGGAGCCCTCCGACAGCCGGACTTTGAAGTGCTTGTTCCTCCCCACGGCCTTCAGGGAGATGGAGAAATCGCTGGGCTGTGGGAACGCAGCGGGACAGTAGATGGGTCAGGATGCTTTGCGTTCAAGTATTTATATGGAGCTCCCAGACCGAACTGCTTAGCAGGCCAGTAGGGGGCGCTCTGGGATATTAAGTAGGATTAACTCACCGACGACTCGCTGTCCCTCACCAGAAAGTCTCCCTCCGCCCCCCTCTCGTCAAGGGCGCGCTCAGCTTGCTGCCGGGTCACCTTTCCATAGTACCAGTCCTTGCCAGCAAACCTGCCAGAGAGGGCAGGCCCCGAGGCGTGTGGGGGGGCCCCGTTCCAGGACCCCTCGCTCACCACCACCACGTAGTTCTTGGGCACGAGGCCAAGCTGGCCACGGGCGTTGCGGCAGCGCCACCATTCCGGGTCGTTCTCGGGCCTCTCCACCACCTCCATGATCTCGCCTTTGTCAAAGTCAAGCTCCTCCTCCGTGGCCGAGCTGAAGGGGTAGAGCGTCCGCACTTTGTGGAGCGCCCGGGAGGGGGAGTCAGTAGTGGGCGGGGCACGCTTTGGCGATGCCCCTGACGCCTCCCCGCCCTCCTCCGACACGTAGTTGGAGGGGAACCAGCCCGTTCGTCCCCCACTGCTGCCCCGCCACCAGCCGTCGCTGCACTTCTCCGTCACCAGCACGCGGGCGCCCTTCGACAGATTGAGCTCGTCCTCACGCTCCGCCGCATACGTGAACTTCACCAGCGCCGGGACGCTCAGCTCGTGGGCACGCTCGCGGCCGGACGGTGCCTCCTCCGCGCTGGGCGTCGGCGAGGAGTTCGCCTTCCGCTTCGCCTTTCCAAGGCCTGAATGGCGACACAAACACGGTGGAAATCACACTCACTTCACACACAGGAAGGTCCCCGTCTGATGCTGGACGGGAACCACCACCCTGGGCTGCATACTCTACATTCAGGCCCCTCCATATTGAGCAGCACTGTTACCATGACGATGCCAAAATCTTAGTATATCCTCCTGAGACCCCACCCATTCATTTATGTCCATTGCAGTGGACATTTTGTTTTTGCATCTATCTTTTCACTGATGTAAGGAAACATATTTATTCCTGTTGTACACTAAAGAGGACATGCTGTGAAATTAGAAATAAGAATAAATTTGAACAAAAATCTAAATTGTAAGATGTCTTATTTCCTTCAAAGACAAAAAACCTAAAATTGAAGGACACTTTTCCCCTTGGGTCTCAGGAGGATCTGCCAGTGAACACACATTAGCAGGGGTGCTACCTGTGACTGTATGTCTACCTGTAATCATCGCTATGTTTCATTTCCGCCACAAGGGGGCAAAGCTGCTCCCATCTAACACCCTTTCATCTTCAAGCTGTTACACAGAAAGGGTTCTGATCATGGGAAGTCGCGTCACACATTTTGACAGAACTCTCTTCATTCTTTACTGCTGCCTGGAGCCTGAGAGAAGCTCATCTTTGAGGATACACTTTCCCGTCCTCGAGTAGATATCCATCATACTGCAGTACAGATCAGAAGGTTCACGCCCGGCTGTGCTTGCCATCCCCCCCCCAGCGCCTCTGGAGTCTGAGAACCACCTCAAATAGGACTCAATCACGGGGCTCTGATGCCTCAATCATCCCTGCGCTGACCACTGGGTGGCGATCTGCAGGTTCTTTATATAACAGTGCTGCCCATTCCAGTGATCACACCCACACCCAGAGGTGGATAGTTCAGGTCCAGAAAGTAAAAATCCAGACCAAGATATTGTTTTAACCAACCAGTTGAGTACTCTCTTACTCTTTATACTCAACTGGTTGGTTGAAACAAAACCTTGGTCTGGATTTTTACTTTCTGGACCTGAACTCTGCACCTCCGCCCACAGCAAAGCGATGACAGCCACAGCCAGCGGCGCCGCTGCTCACCCAACGTGTCCCTCAGGTTCCTGACCAGTGAGCTCTTTTTCGGGCTGTTCTTGCGCTCCACGTAGTTGGACGGGACGTAGCCGGTCCGGTTGCCGGCGTTGCGGACCCTCCACCATGTCTTGGAGTCGTCCAGCAGCCAGAGACGTTCGTTCTTGCGGATGTCAAGCTCCTGGTCCTGCTGGGCGGCGTAGTCCCACTTGGCCACCACCACCACCTCCTCGGTCATCGTTCAGGGCGTCCTCCTGTATGGGGAGGGGGGAGTTTGCCATGGAGTGAGAAGAGCAGGCACACAGCAACAACGTGCCAATGGCCAGACGTCACCCTCAGCCGGCTGGGCCCGGAAAACAGGGGTAGAATGGGGCAAAAGAGACAGACAGAGGGGAAAAGAGAGGGGATCTCATTTTTTCCTTTCGTCCTGCCATCTGCAGTGCTACTGGAAACGGAATAGGACTATTAAACCCCCCCCCCCAAATGCCCCCACAGTGACAAATAAGGAAAAAGGAGGAGATTCCTTCACACAGTGTGTGTAAACAGCAGCATGCCAGGGAATGTGTGAGCAGGAACTACACAGGACCATGGGGGAGGGAAGAGAGGTCATGATAGAGAGGGTAGGGGGAGGAGAGGGAGACAGGGATAAGGAGAGTGAGAGAGAGGCGAGGAGAGTGAGAGAGGGATGTGGAGAGGGGCAGAGTGTCAGATAGAGATGGAGGGAGACCAGGCATGTGAGAGAAAATACCTTTCAGTAATGAGTCTGGCACGGCCGCTGACACCCCCTTGGTGTCTGAGAGAGCACAGGTGCAGAGAGCAGCCACCTCCTGAGTGACAATGAAAACCCTCCCCAGTGTAAAAACTGTGTTTCATCACGTTGGCTTGGTGCCAGATCCTCCAATCATATAATGCGGGTTATGTGCGAATTCCCCTGCTGATCACACCCCCCGACACCATACACTGTAGTAAAAATGCAGCCTGGCATTCACACACGCAGTTTGACACCCCTCCTGGTAAGCCCCCCCCCCACCACCAAAGATGAGACATGTACTTTTTAAAGGGTGATGATGCCATCTTCTGATGACACCGCAGTATGTGAGCAGAGGACTGGAAGGCGGAGTCTCTTACGGTCTCGGCTCGACACGTACCGGAATGTGAAACTCTATGAGGCAGACGATGCGATCCGGGCTCAAAAATCTAATCGGATCTGTTGTGATGCCAGCGTTAAATGAGCTTGGACAGTCTGACTCACCAGACAGGTGGCTCAGAGTTCCGGAAAACAAATCGCCTTCCGGAACACAGCACTATGGGTGAATTACATCACTCTCCGGGGTTAAACTTGAGATTTGTGTATCCTGTCGAGTTCTCTTTAGCCTGACACATCACACGCCTTCCAAACCAGACCTGTCTGACTCACAGTCAGCGAAAGGGACCTAGACCGAGCACTGGCTGAGCCCAGAGGCATGGATGCTCGGATGGTCACTGCTCACTCTCTGCCGAAGCACAAACAGCAATTCCACCTTAAATGTTGAGCTTTTTGCATCCCTCCCATGGGTGTGCATGAGCCCTGGTGCTTCCTTGACCCTCTCTGGGGTTTGAGGTAGGCAGCACATACGCTACGCGGACAAAAGTACTGGGACACCAGCCTGTCCGACATCCCACTCGGAATCAAAGGGTATTAATATGAAGGTTGCTAACCCTTAGCTGCTACAATAGGCCGTACTATTCCGGGAAGGCTTTCCAGAAGATGGTAGAACATTGCTGGTGGGAGAAGGTCCCCGTGTGTGAGCTTGTGTGGCCGTCACCTCGCAGCTGAACTTCATCCCAGATGTTCCCACGTCACAATCACTTCACTTGCAGTTGACCAGGGCAGCTCTAGCAGGACAGAAACGGGGAGAACCGACTTGCTGGAAAGGTGTCCAGTGGTGTCCAATGGTGGTGCTGGGCTGACTGGCCTCTTCTGTATGACCCCCCCCGTTCTGCTGCCGGTGTTTGATATTGCAGATTGCATGGCTGTGTTCAAAATTACACACCTGTATCTCAGCAATGGGTGTGGCTTATGTAGCCAATTCCTGTAATTACTATGGGTGTCCCAATACTTTTGTTCATATAGTGTAACATATCCTAAACTATACTCAGCTCCTGTACCCGAGGACCCAGAGTAATTAGGACACGTCCAAACACAGAAGGCCTTCATATTAAAATATTAATTGGCCGAGTCAGATCGCTAAGCGAAAAGACTGCTTAGTCTTCATCTTGCAAAAACTGCTGAGGCTGATAAGATGGAAAGCGGTTTTTAGGAAGTGGGGGGGGGGGAGGTCCTGAGAGAGAGACCATGACTGCGGTTAATACTGCGGGTCTACAAAAATGTGGCAGAGCTGACAGAACAAGGCATGGTTTTACTCAAGCTCCGTAATCCCCCCTAAGACGATGAGAGAGAGAGAGAGCGAGAGAGAGCGCGAGCGAGCGAGCAGATGAAGGCCACATCAGTCCCTGTCAGAGGGCCAATGAGCTGATGGCTGTTCTTAAAGACACAGAGTGTTCATGGTCTAAATACAAGGGTACAGCTTCTTCCGTGTTTGATACTCTGGGGAAGGGGGTCAAAAGAAAGGTCAACATTAATGTTTTGTCATTTTTACATTATTACAGTGTGTGTGTGTGTGTGTGTCTGTGTGTGGTCATGTATATATTACATTGTGGGGACCAGATTTCCCCACAATGTGCTAAAACCCTGAAATTTTCTGTCCCCACAAGGATTCAATTTTATAAAAATCTGTGAATGTGATCAAAAATGAAAAATGCCAAAAGCTTTGTATTTGGTTTGGTTACTTATGGTTAAGGTTAGGGCTGGATAGGGGTTCAGGTTGTCATGTTGGGATTAGGATTATGCCCATAGAAATGAATGGAGAGTCCCCACAAAGAAATGAATACATGGACTGTAAAAGTGCATAGAGCAAACAGACAGGGGTAGGGGGGCACGATAAAAGAGGAACTGAACAAGCAGATTTCTGCTTCTAAAGCATTTATGGGGAGCTGGATCACAGATATTCAGGGAACCACCCTCCACAGCACAAGGCCCAGATAGAGCAGTTGGCAGATATATAAACAAGGAAGACACAGTACTTGCAAAAACCATCCACCGGGGGTGCTGTGCTTATTCCCTCAGATGCTCAGCCAATGACAGAAGCTGAATTTTAGGCTTGGGTGATTGGGGAATAGACATCTTCGTCTGATTGGAGAAAAAATGCAGGGTTCGCCTCCATCTCTTGTAAGGTTCTATAGCGCTCGTTGAGTTTGGAAGCCGTAGGTTACCCCATAGGATGCCACGTCCGGCATCTGCCGTGACGGCTGGAGATAGCGTTAATCTCACCATCTGTTAATAAGATGCCAAGAACTGCACCGAGACCTTGAAACGTGACTGTGCTCGTGCTCATGTGATCACAGCCCCACTGTGCATGTGTGTGTGTGTCAGAGAACTGCACTCACTATTCTGTTCCTCACCCCAATGTTGGGGTCACAGCGAGGTCATGTTGACATAGTAATTACATTTTTCATTCCAGGACCACATAAAAGGTCAAAGGGAGACTAAAGCGCCTTTCAGACACGCACCGCCGCTCTGAAGTTTTCTAGACATTAGCTGGAGGGGCCGAATGTGTGAACGCAAATGTTTGAAGCAGTCGAGCTGGACATTAAAATGGACTTTACCCTGATAGCTCCCTAGTACAAAGTCCGGGCAATTTCCGATTGACCCTCATGCGTGAATGGAAATTGGCCAGAGAATTCAGAGAGCAGGTGGTCATTTTGATGACGTTTCCATTGCTGCGTTTGAACTCGGAAGTTTCTAGTCAGAAATTTCACCTAGAGCACCCCCTGAAGTTGAAATTCCTCTGCAACCCCCGACTTTGGAACTCAAGATGGCTGCATAGTCAAATGTGCAGTTTTATGCCGTTTATTAGCACTTACGTCTTACGTTTCTTTAATTGGTCGTACACACAGTACTGTCCAAGCGCTATCTGTGGATATGTTGCTACGGTGTTTGCATGCACAAAACACCACGTAATGTGTTCTTATTAACTAATATTGCTAACAATGGCTAACAATAAACTAACAATAAAAACAGAACTAGGCCCTGTTTCAGAAAGCAGAATTTCTCATCACAGCAGAAAGGAAGAGCAACACAGCATCGCTCACCAGAATCCGGAAGATTCCAGCACTCAGCACGACCGATGTTACTGCCTGCACATCAGTGTTTATCCCCCTGTCTCCTTCCATGTTCATATACTGACCATTTAGAAGAGACTGCACAAAACAGTCTGCACCATTCAGCTGTGGTGCTTCCAACCGAGAAATCTGAGACCCCCCCCCCCTTCCCCCACGCATTTCAGCATTCTAGCTGCCCCATCTGTGTAGTACAATAAAACTCATTTGAAGAAGTAATACCATGTAATACTGAAGCCATTTACAAGTAAATTAAGCCTGAATTGGGATCCGGTTTGAACACCAGGAAGCAGGCTTGAGGCAATCAGTCTCTGCAAGGGGTTCCCATCGTCGCCCATCAACGGCCGCCATCGAAACCCCGCTCTGCCATTCATCCACAGCCAGATAGGTCAATTTCAGCCCAAAATTGAAACTGCAATTGAAAGGGCTTGTGGGTAAATGAGAGGAGTGATTTCAGGTGAGCCACATCAGGAGGCCAGTGAGAAGGAAAGCCGTCCGAGCCAGACTGACGTTCTTAATCATGCTTAAATCTTTGATTCGGCCCGGTGGAGGGAAACAGTCCAGGTGTGAACTGCGAGGCGTCTTGACCGCTGGACAGGAGAAGAAGAAAAAGAGGTAAAGCCAGTGAGGTGTGAAAATGCTGCCAGATGTGCCACATCTGCTCTCTACTGTGAAAATGCTGGAGGACAACATCAGCAATGCCGGGTAAATAAAGGAACTACAGTAGGAACAACATCTGGGCCATGAGGTCAGGCGTCAGCGGAGGGAGGTGTGACCTCCTCAGTCACCTCCTCAGAAGCAATCTAGGCAATTCAAAGATTCCCTTCCCCACCGCCCAAGCTGTGGTTTCCATGGCGTCGGTCCATCCTACCCTTTCCCACCCGAGTGGGCGTGACCTTCTTCCAAGACCGAGGAAGGAGAGCTAGAATAGCTTGGTCTTTTTTTGACGGGGTCTGCGGTGGATCATCTTCCCATCAGAGGTCGGCGACTCTCTTCCGGACCCCCACAATGTGGGACTCAAATCGAAAACATCTCTACAGACCAAGGCCAAAACGCACAGCAGATGTCCGTATGCAAGACCAGTCCATACATGTGCCAAGCAGCAGGACAAGGCGGAATCAAGATTCATTGTTTTACAAATCCAAATTAAATATTAAAAACTAATTGCACTGATAGAGACTGTTACCAAATGCTTCTGAAAAGTCAAACCTTTTCTTAATAGTGTTACCATCTTTTCTGTCATCTTCATATCTCACTAAAAGTCTTTGGGTGACTATCACCTGCGGCTGACCACACAAATGAAAAGACCATTTAATACCTTGTGAATCCAAAAACAGCCCAAAACTAATACACAACAATCAGTGCTGAGTGACAGTGTGTCAATCAGAGGAACTGCTTGGTTCCTATAAACCAAGCAGAAGAAAAAGTCACCGTGGGAGAAAATCACAGCTATGAAGGAACAATGCTCCAGTTTTTTGTCGTAAGGGAGGGAAAAAAAATAAAAATATTCATTTACCATTTGTACAGCTACACTGGAATGTGTTTGTTTTCACATATGCCATTTTGCTCTCACAGATATGAGGTGAGAGCGAGGCTTAGGATCTGCGTGTAGAGGCATCCTCCCATCCCGCAACCCTGGAGCAGTTTTCCAGGGATTAAAGACCTTGCTTAAGGGCCCAACGGTGACATGCAATTCTACCAAACAACCTTCTGAGCACAGGCACAGAAACCACACACCACCCCCCAAACAAAGGACAGATTAGGCCCCAGGGCCGTCACCACCACAACCCGATTGCAAGCCAATTGTGTTATTCAGCTCTTATGTTCATCAAACCAGAAACTATCCACACAGGCTGCTGCATAACCTATGGGAGCCCCTCCTCAGCCAGCAGGTGACTATCCAATGAACATGCTTCATGTAAGATCCTGGACTTAACGGCACCTCGAGTCACGTGACCCATGCAGTTATAATCCTTTTTTTGGGGGGAGGGCGCAATTTCTCATGTCATATGTGGCAGTGCCATTCCCATTCAACGACTCAGAATAGGGCTGATTGATTTGGGGAAAATAGCTAATCGTGATTTAACAAATATTGCGATTGGATTCAGCGTGTAATAGATTCAGTGTGTAATAGGTAATTCACTTATAAATTGGCAAGCGGAATCAATATTTTTTTGTACTGCGAATGCAATGTTTTCCTTGGGCTTCATGTGTTTGTTGTTTGTGGGCGTATCCACCGTCACCTTGTTCAACTTCTGATGGGCGAAAGTCACGGACACTGACTAACCTTACGAAAGTTTTAAACATTCGGTCAGACGTGCTGTATAACGCACATCCAAAATCGCAACCTTTGCGATTTGCCAACTGCATTGTTTGAAATCACGATTTCGATTTGAAATCCATAAATAATTCAGCCTGAGCTCTTGAGGGGAATCTGTACAGAGGATGCATCAGCTGACAAAATCCCAGTAATTATTAACTAATTACTCTAATGAGAACAGTACGCATTTTCTTCGCAGATGTCCTAGACTGCGATAATTAAAGTTGACGTTATTTAATGACTTTCACTAAAGCACCACCAGCAACACTAACAGCAACAGAGCATACGGCCACTGGGAGGGGGTGGGGGGGACTTATTCATTGGGGGGGCAGACTGGTTCCTAAAGACTTCGCTTTAAAGGAACCTGAACTGTAACTGAAATGCAACCTGAACTGTAACTGAAATGCAACCTGAACTGTAACTGAAATGCCTTTTCAAGGCTGAGCTACGCAGCTCCTACTTCCTGTTCTGATTTATACCGGGGAAAAAACAGATCTATTTCAGTGACACGTATGGCGTCCACAGGGCCGGCTGGACCCTGCCAGAGCAGCGTCTCCTGACGCGCGGCACACCGGGGGAGACCGACGCCACCCAGTACTCAGCACTGACTCCTAACGAGTCTCAGCGATGACACGCGGTCACACTCTGAATTAGTCGCAACTCTACCCAGCAAACCCAGCATAAATCAGGCTGAGCTCCCCATTTGCAATCAATAATTAAAGCACTCCTGCATAATTAAAAGTTGGCCCCCTACAGCAAATCGCTGGCAGCCCTCAGAATCACAGAGAACCCAACAGACGTCTTTAAACCATGTGCCAGTTTACACGAGGCTTGAGGTTAGCATCGGGGCTAAAATAAGGGGGGCTAAGCTAAAATATTCACGGCTATAGCCCTGAGTGATCTGACTGAGCGATGCTCATGCTCTTTCCCCACCATAACAGTCTCTCCTGAATGCAAGTTCAGTCCAAAATAGTATTTTATGCTGCTTGAGAAACACACATACAATAGAAGCAGAACCAAGCACATCAGAAGAGCCTGTTCGTTCCTCTTCATCCTCCTGTTCCTCTTCCCCAGCTTATCCTGCCACAGCTGCAGGCAGAGCATCCAGGAGACTCCTGTGGGGCCCACAGAGTCAGTCGCTAAGAATCTGGCACTAATGCTAATTT